CAGGAAGTGCATTTAACAAAACGAATGCTCCGCACAGGCCGCCGATTTGATCGAAGTCGAGGCTTGCGACATAGAGACCGACGTCGTTGGCCACAACATCGCTCTCGCCTAGGGCAGACGATGCTGCCTGACGTGAATGTGCCGACTCTAGCTGTTGGAGACGGGGATGACACGCTTAAAGTTGTAGGTCAATAATCATTCTTAAAAAAAAAAAGAACGTCAAGAACGGCTTGGCTTCTGAACTCATTTTTGAAAAAGTTCCACGACTCACGTGCTGAACGCAAGCATGTAAACATTACCCACTTCGGCGATTAAAGAAGTCAACTAGATACGCTTTCAAACCAAGTGATTATGGGCATTACAAATATGCTTCAACAGTGCATATGCTGTCGCTTTTCTCTGTTGCTTCTTTTCTTTTTTTTAACGATGGGGATGTTTGTGTGTGTGTGTTTTTTGCATTTTTGTGCCATATTGAAGCTAAATAAGCGCAGGCGAGTGAACCCTAAAAAAAAAAAAAAGACGGAGCAAAAAAAGAAAAAAAAAAAAAAAACGCTTAGCTGTTTGTCATTTTGTCGTCCGGTTTTCTCCGCATTGTAGGGTTCGTAAAGTCAAATCATTGCTATTTTGGAATTTTGTTGTGCTGCCCTGAGATTGTCGTCGAGTCCTTGACACTCAAAGGGTAGGGGAACTTTAGTTAAGCCGCCTGCATTCCCCGAAGCGAGGCCAGCGTTTTTCGAGGTCAGGATTTCGCGGCTTTTATGACGTCGGGAGCTAAGCCATTCGCACCTGCGAGCCTGAAGAAAGGCTTCGGTTACAAACGTGGCCGAGTTTGGAGAGGGCTGTTCGAAGAGCCGGAGCCGGAGATGTGTTTTTCACGCAGTCCACGGACAGCTTCGTCTTTTTCGTTTTGCTTCGGTATGTTGTGGGCATGCACCGCCCCTCGCCGTAGTGGATTGTCGAAACGAAACACACACACAAAAAATACTGACATTGGAAAAGCGAAAGGGGTAAAGGGGGACAACCATGAAACTTCGGCGGTGTTCCGACCCTTCAACACCCAACACCCCGTCCCCTGGCTACGCCGCTGGTGTGCAAATATGTTCGTGTTTTCCAAATAAAATTGAGCTGCCGGTAGCCGCTCTGAGTTTGCACTACTACTTCTTTCAGTTAGGTTGTTTGTTTTTTCTGGCGCTTCTAAGTATACGTTTGTTGCAGCTGACGTCACTTCCGGTTAAACTGTAGGTCAAAACCAACATTGTCGTCTACTATCAGTGCCTTGTCACCATGTTGGAGGCAAAAAATGTTCTTCTCCTGACACGAAGTGCAGTCCATAAACCCCTAGTTAGGGTACGAAGCTTTTCTATCAAGATCATAAGTCTACATAATAATCTAAAGCGAAAGTCCCATGCGTTTGGCCGCGACGGGAGGGCGATGCATAGACGCGGACATCGGCGGCCTCATTTGGTGGTCCCTATAAGCTCGTATCGCTGGCGACGCATATGCACAAAGAAGCAGCAAAAAACCACCTTAAATTCTGCACTTTTTTTTTAATTAGCAGAAAAAACATTTGAATTGCGCGTTGACAAAATTAAGTAAAGGTAGGCTGTATCAACTCACTTATTAAAATATCCTTGCCCATCTTCCCCCCCCCCCCCCCCCCCAAAAAAAAAAGAAGCGGCTAGGGAAGAAAAAAAAACCTTCCCCGGAAAAAGAAAAACACAACAACAAAAATCTGCGCCGAGCAGCGTCGAAAATGCGCCGACCCCATAGCGGCGCCATCTGTTGACAGCCCGTGATATCGCGAGGAGAAACTAACTCTAGCTACAGTTACTCTAGAGTTCGAGTGAGGGTTAAGGGAGAGTATCATCGAAAGAAGCGGTCGCGAAAGAGTAACTTGGATGAAGATAGGGTTAAAGGAGGGTAACTTAGGGCAGTTACTCTCCCTTGACACCTTTTTTTTTTTAGAGTGTATCATCTAGGATCTAGAGAGCGCAACTCTCACACCGCGGTACCACCATCGCTGAAAGTTGCGAATTTCGATCATAACATTACTAACATCTCCAACATCACATAATTTCATGCTCAGTCAGATGTTTTTTTCTTAGAGATGTATAACGGGTTATTCGATTGCTATGTATTAGTATTTCATGCTAATATTCTCTTCTTTTTTTTTTTTGTTGGTTCTTTATTACCCTTGTTTTCGTGTGTGTTATGATGATGTAAGTATTTAGTGCTCTTTCCCGCTGATTTCTTGGTATTTCTAAATAAATAAATTAGGATCATCTTCGGTACGCGCTGTCCAATAAATTTTCTGCGAAGTGTATAATTACTTACGAGTGCAAAGTGCAATATTGATAATGGCCCTCCGGGGAAAGCGTGTTTCAAATCAGGAAGAATCAAAATGAAGACACGTACGGACGTGCACAGTCGAGGAGCTTAATGACTCTGAACCAACGCCTGACCGGTCCAGTCCGCTAAAGGTTTCAGCTTTCTCGTTACTTGCTAAAGGCCTGTTCACACATGTAGCGGAGCGCTACAAGCGTAGCGCTGACCTCGCGCTAAGCGCGTGCTGACGGGAGCGTTCACCAGCTTTGTGTCGCACCGTCAATACTGTTGTTCATGGCAGACAATAAGTAGCGGACGACACGTGAGAAGCGCTACATTAGCGCTTCGCTGCATGTGAGAACCGGCCTTAAAAGATATGTTTGGCTAGTTGATTGATTCAAGGCCGGTTCACACATGCAGCGGAGCGCTAAGTTAGCGCTACGTGAGCGCTCCAAGGAGCGCTCATGTGGCGCTTCCTAGCGCGTGATGTAGCGCTCGGTTAGCGCTTCAGTAGCGCTCTGTTAGCGCTTCAGAAGCGCTTTGTTAGCGCTCTGTTAGTGCTACAGAAGCGCTTTGTTAGCGCTCTGTTAGCGCTCTCATGCACGCTTCTTGTGCCGCGTGCTTGCTGCTGCGGAACAACGCGTGCACGGCGATTCCTTTGTTGTTGTTTTTCCTTTGGCATTGAAAGAAGAGGTAGTAAAACAGCCGCTCTCCAAGCAAAGGGTCGGGCAGGCGACCCAGAGTCATGAACTTTGAGCGACTAATTGATTGGGTACGACCTCATCGCTTTCTATTCGATAGGCGTGACCCTGGTTTCAAAGACACGCAGTTAAAAATAACCGCCTTCGAAAGAGCTCTGTGTCTCGGTCCCTCAGCCTAGGAAGAAGGTTCACTGCAGGTACCTGTCGGTATCTCGGTGGCGAAAGATGTCGCGCACCCAGAAGGCTCGTCTGGGCGTTAAGCCGTCCACACACATATGCACTAATCGCGTATGTAAGAGCATTGGTCGCATTTCTATTTCAGCATCCCACATGTCCGCCATGGTGCTGCTGATGCACACCCAACCACAGGAACCGGAACCGCAGTGCACGCGCTAATCCGCAGCACCGCGGTACAAGTAGCGCTACTAAAGCGCTAACACGGCGCTACTGAAGCGCTAACAAGGCGCTACTGGAGCGCTAACAAGGCGCTACTGGAGCGCTAACAAAGCGCTACAGAAGCGCTAATCGCGCGCTGTGTTAGAACTAAGTCACGCGTCAGGAAGCGCCACATGAGCGCTCCTTGGAGCGCTCACGTAGCGCTAACTTAGCGCTCCGCTGTATGTGTGAACAGGCCTTCACATGTCGGGATCCGTGGCCCATCGCGCTGTTTGACTCCATGTTCTCATAACTTGATCAGATTATATGATGTGACTAAGGCATGCTTTGCCGCAGTACACTCACCAGTTGCCTAGGGTGGATTAGACGGGCCGTGAAATGTTTTGTTGTGAATCTGTAGATTCTGTAAAAGAAAAGCAACGCACCCTGTCAACCGTTGCCTTCTTTTATAAGACAGTTTGGATTACTATTCATAAACGCCTATCGTTAAAGTGCATACCACCATTCGCTACAGGTGTGTCCAAAATTCCAATACGTGCATCGTGGTCCGCTACACGTTTCCGGTAAGCTCTGTAGCGGCATAAGAGATTTCGTTGCGTTAAAAAGACACTTAACTGAAACAAAAATACAGAAACAGACGTGACATTACCCCAAGAGTGGAAGTAACGATAGGACGACACACAACTGAATATTATTTCACTTAAAGAGTGCTTGAAAGGAAACGCTAGAAAGAGAAAATCGTAAGGGTGCAGGCGAGCTGGTGAATATTAACCATGTTGAAATAACCTGAGGCTGGGGTAGAGGAGAAGCATCAAATCGTAGAAGGGACAGAAACGTCGTCCTGTCTATTTTCTGTCCCTTCTACGATTTCATGCTTCTTCTCTACCCCAGTCTCAGGTTATTTCAACACGGCTAGAAAGAGATTGAAATACCACGGACAAAAGAAGGAAAGCAATCACCCTCTTTCCTCGGCAGTACTACTAGCAGTCAGAAGCCCTGTTTCCACAACAGTACTACTAGCAGTCAAAACCTCACTCCCACGCAAAACATAATAAAAAGTCTTCATCCCCTAAACCCGCGCTGGATTGATGGGCCGAATTTTCCGAATCGAAAATGACGTCAGAGGGTTGAGTCGGTTCATAGTCACTGATGGACAACTTAAGAAACTCGGGGCTTAGCTCCTTATGCTCACGTTCTTCGCTTCGTGATTTGTTATTCGCCGTATCTCATTGGCTAATGCCACAATCCGATTGGCTGCGGAGTGATAAACGCTCGGAATCCGATACACCCAGCGTAACTCCAGCGGTCAATAACTACAGCGTCTACCAAACAGATGCAATGTTTATTGTTGTTCTTTCACCGCAAATATAAATTACGCATTGCCGAACGCTCATTCTTTGCCCACATGTCGCGCTAGCGGTTCGAACCAGGTGCCAAAGTTTCAGAACTGACCGTTATCTCATTCAAAAGTTATAAGTGATTTTGTTGAAATCTTCAGTGGGAAAATGGAACCCGTTTCTGCCCATTTTCGGTAACTGGTGGCGCCATTCAGCTCCGGCCAACATTTTCTTATTAAAAATGGGGATCATGGCCACAAGGGGCCACAATCCCTATCTTGCGCTGTGTGATCTTATCGAGGCGATCGAGGCGAGGACTGATCGGGAGGCAGCTAAAGTGAACACCCATATTATCTGTCGCCCTACGTTGGGCGCCAGATAACGTGGGTGTCCACTGTAGCCAATGCCCGATCAGACTCCGCCTCGACCGGCCCAAAGGTGATCACACAACGCAAGTTACGGAGGATCGACTGCCTTACAGTTGGACGATCTGGAGGCAGCGCCTTGTACTTTCACCGTTCCGTCACCGACCATCCGCGAGCTCGCCGCCCGAGCTCTGCCCCGTGTTATATTCGTCTTCCTTCTTTTGGCCCCTGCGGGCCCATGTCCAGGGTCCTCATGGCCGCTATCCCCACACCCTCCTGAATAAAATAACAGTTAGTTTTGAAACTTCGGTGAAAAAAAAACTGTAAATATTTTGGGATGACACCCTGCATAGACAATTGCAAGCGCGGCGCCTCACGGGTGCCCCATGCGTGCAAGCATGTGCAGCGTGCGCGTGAACGTAGCTTTGGCAAGCTTGTAATTGCACGCACTTGCCCGCGCGAGCAGAGACATGGCGGCGGCCAGATGCCCTACTTGTAATCGCCTATAATCAATCATATATCATATCAATATAACCTTCGACGATGTTCTTGGCCCCCATTGCAGTGGCGTAGCCAGGAATTGTTTTCGGGGGGTGCTGAGGTGACTGGAATGTTCATGACTTGGGGGGGGGGGGTCAAAATGCATGTATATAATATATGATCGGCTGGATTTCGGCGGGGGGGGGGGGGGGGGGGGAGGGCTCAAGGTTTATAACCCCCCACCACGGGGTAACGCCCCCGCGCCATTGTGTAGAGAAGAATCTCCAATTCCACTACGTCCCGATGGACCGTTTAATAGCCAGGCACGTGAGATCGGACACATTCCAAGATGCGTCTTAATTAGATTTTCTGCTTTACATTCCTCCATGGCGGGAAAAAAAAGGCGGACGCGGACGTTGTGCGCGTGATAAACGAGAGGATAGAACACAAATGGAGGCTACCTCGGTGGTAGCGACACAGTGGCGCCATCCATCGCCGGCTCGCGGAAACAGCGGAAGCGCGTTTCCCCTGCGTGTAGGCGAGAATGCGGGGATCCGGGCCGAGAACAGAGATACATGGGGAGACGTAAAGCCAAACATATGGATTCTTTATCTTAGCTTATCGGCGGGTTGATACAACACTGGCTAAACTGCGTAAGGTGGGGGACCAGGTGGGCCGAATGGTCCGCCGTGTTTCCAACAAACGCGGGGGGTTACGGTGCAAAGACGCCTTGCGGCTGGCGCACGCGTTTGTGACCAGTCGAGTCCTCTACTCGACTCCTTACCTCCACCTGCGCAAGTTTGACGAGACCGCCCTTGAGGTGCTTCTTAGAAAGATGTACAAGCGTGCCCTCGATCTCCCGATGAACACGTCCAACCAGCGCCTCATGGGCCTGGGGATGGTAAACACTTTCGCGGAGCTCCAGGAGGCACACTTGACCAATCAATATACAAGACTTTCAAAGACGTCGTCGGGACGCCACCTATTAGCCCGACTACACATCCATCACCTAACACTGACAGAAGAGCGCGTACGCATCCCCGAAGTCTGGAGATGCGCCCTGCACGTGCGCCCTCTTCCAGCCAACATGACACGTGACGACCACAGTGGCAGGCGCCTTGCGCGGGCGGAGGCACTGGCCCGCCACTATGGGTCCAAACCCGGAATCTTCTATGTGGACGCCTCCGGCCCTCACCATGGGGGGAGGTACACGGCTGCAGTCGTCCACCAAAACGTCCTGGTGAACGGCCTTACGTTCAGAGCTAAAGACATAACACATGCGGAGGAGATCGCCATCGCTCTAGCCGCCGCAGACCAGGACTCGAGAGTCATCATCACCGACTCGAGAGGGGCCTGCAGAAATATTGAACAGGGGTACATTCCTCTCTTTGCGTATCGCATCCTTAAAGATAGTGACTACCTCGGGGCCCCCGCGTCTCGAACGATCGTCTGGGCTCCTGCTCACATGGGCCTCGAAGGCAACGAAACGGCAGACGCCGCCGCCCGCGCGCTCACTCTCCGGGCAACGCCTTCAGACCCTTCCGAAATGGATCCCGAACCCAATCCAGCCTTCACTTTTCGAGAAATTACTCAATTATACCAATTCGGCCACGCAATTTATCCTAAGCCCTGTAAGGGCCTTACAAAGGCGGAGGAACGCACACTCCTCCGTCTCTACACCAAAACCCTGCTGTGCCCGGCAGTTTTAAAACACTTTGATCCTGCTTATACAGGAAAATGCCCGCACTGTGCGGAGAAGTCTTCGGACATCTTCCACATGGTGTGGGCATGCCAATCAACCCCGAACCTCGTCCCAAAACCCAACCCCACCCGGGAGGACTGGGAGGCAGCCCTGCTCGACTGCTCCGACCTGGAGGGCCAGAAGGCCCTGGTTGACCGAGCCCAAACCGCGGCAGTCGCCAATGGGCTCCTGTACTGAGGAGTCCACCTAGTGCTTGTGAGAGATGGCCCCCTCCGGGCCACCTCAAACTACCTCCCTCATGATATACCTTTAATAAAGTTTTTCATACATACATACATATACGTCCGAGTGACGCACTGCTCGTGTCTAATGCGTGAGCTGGGGGCCGGCTGACATGCATGGATACCGCAGGTGTACCACAGTGAAAAGGCGGAGAGTCTTCGAAGGAATGGAATTACGAAATAGTCCGCTATATTAGAGAGTTTTAGTAGATCGTGCTTTCAAGCCACGCAAGCAGGGCTAGGCAGTATTGCGATACAAATGTATCGCGATAGTATCTTAGAGCTACTTTTAAACATCTGTATCTCTGTATCGAAATACATTTAAAAACTGTATTTGTATCCCAATAGTGAAATACATTTACAATGTATAGCGATATTTTGCCAGACTTAGATACCTTGTTAAATTTGTTGCCGTTGTTACGATAAATTTAAAAGATAAGAACATCTGTTTGGTGAAAGGCGCTTCAGAATTCATAATATGAATCCGCCCTCTAGCATAATCCATTACAGTCACCAACATAAAATGTACTTCGGTTTCAAGAAGATTACCTGCAATAATAACAGAATAAGCTTATCTCACAAAGCCTTCCATTCTTTCCAGTTCCAGAAAAATATAAGACGACAGTTTGAAATGCGCTCTCACGAAAAAACAGGGTTCATTACGTGCAGACGGCTTTTTTTCAAGCATGGCATGCAGTATTTACTGTTCAGTAACTATGTGGCTTACGGGGGTGACTTTTTCTTTATATATAAATGTGGATGTAACGGGAAGTGTATGAAATGGTACGGGAAGTGAAGCACACACATAAATTGCCACCCGCATTCAACACCATCTTCACACTCCCCACGTAGCATCGTTCGGGAACAAATGTATTAATGCGAAAGCATTAACTGTCCCATGGAGCGAGCTGACGTCATCAATTTGAAGCGCGAAAACGGCACCTATATTTGGTGACAGGTCAAGAACGAAGTGGAAGCTCCTCCTACCTCTTTCCACTTCAGCAGAGCGAACGGTGGAGAGGAGGCGACCTCCTCTCCACCGTTCGCACTACTAAAGTGGAAAGAGGTCAGCGCGCCGGTCCAAGGTCACCGGGGGAGCACGCGCGGTGACCGGCGACGAAAAGTACGCAGCAGACGAAAAAGGGAGCGGTCGAGCGGCTTGCATGCTTTCGCATTCACAACTCATAAGAAGTGCTTAGGTGTACCTCGAGCTTTTTCTATAATTATCTGATCTGTATTCAGGAATACTTTTTTCACGTTTTTACAGAAGTATCTCAGGGATATCGCGTTGCATAAAAGGCGAATGTATCTCGGTATCTGTGCTTTGGGCCTTAAAATACCCTATCTTAGTGTTTATATCCCAGACAACTTTTCGTACTATCTCTGCCCAGCCCTGGAGCCTATTTCGAGCGGGAGCTCGCGCTATCACTTCGATGCATGCTCTGAAGCGCGCGCCCGTATCGGTAGCAGCTTTTGAAAACGATCCACTAAAACTCCCTATATTAAAATTTTAGAACCGTTTTTGACACTCTGCCTTTTTTTCTTCTTTTGGCTCACTAAACGATGTGATTAGCTAGAAGGGCGAGCTCATAGCGTTGGCAGCTGCCCTTAATGCACGAGAGCTTGTGCCGCCGAGATCTCCCCAGACCACGATGCCCCAGACTAAAGAGCTCGTGCTTGTAGCCTTTCCTGCGGTACATCACAAGGTGAAATAGCTAGTACAACTGAGGAAAGCTAGCTCAGTTGAACTCAATGATCGCCGCCGTGTAACTCCGGCCGATCGCGATTGGGTCAACTGTCGTTGTCTTAATGATAGTTACGAGCGCTGTAACTATAGGTATAAAATCATCTGTCCCCGCCCAAAATAAATTTTATCCCCTTTAATTTGTCAGTAACATATAGCTCATATTTCGAGACTTCTCTCGCGGTGGACGAAAAACATGGGGTTTCCACAACCCCACTTAATATACCCAAAGCCTGTGAACAACCGCCTCTTGCTCCACGTGACGTCATCGTGCGTGGCCAACTCGGCAATTGGACCCGAGCTTGACGCCGAGTGTCCTTCGACGCGTTCATTGGGCACGAGGCCGACCGAATGCTGACGCAGGGCTTTCGAGTCCAATCAGCTTCAGCGCTCGATATCACGGTGATGACGCCCAAAGACTAGAGGGGTACCGGCTTGGATTGTTCTACTCTACTTTGTTCCAGCTTAAGTCCAGACGCAGCTGACAGGTAATGAGACTAATCAATCAAGTGTCGTCAAAATTGCGAGTCACTAGGCCTTTTTCTGTTTATGAAACCTTCCAACCCTGCGAGTTTTCAAACAGTGAATTTTTGTAGCACGAAGTTTTATTTGTTTCAATAACCAAATTTAATGCTAAGTCTGGTAACAAATGGGACGGCGTGCAGAAAGCAGGATGCTAAAGTTTTTATTTAGAAAAAGCTCGTGCGAAGCGTGAATATCCGTCTTACACGTACACTTTGTTGCCTGTCGTCTTTTTAAACCAGGCTTTGCAATGTGCGTACGGTTCTCCAGCATGCAGAGGTTGGTTCTAATTACCTAAATTTTATTCTAGTGCGTGTGGACGTCGGGAGAAGAAGAGGACGGCCGAGCGAGGCGCGAGCTGGGGCCAGCCGGCGAGGAAAGATGAAGAGCGTGCTGCACAAAGCTGGGGCCAGGCAGGAACGATAGAGGCGTTCTGGCTGGTCTGGCCCATGGCGATTCCCGGGAGCAATATTCTACCAGCGAGGTTCAGATCAGGACTGGCGTAAATGGCGAGTCCTGGCCATACCGGCCTGCGCTATGACGATCCCGGAGCGGTTCCGCAGCGAGAGCCCGGAACAGCTAGCCTACGTAGGGCTGGCGTACGGGAAGAACGATCCGCAGGTCTGGACGCGGACTCCGACTGCGAGCTCAGAACGACGGACGACAACTATAGGGTCGGCGGGTCCGGACCGCCTGCTCTCGAAGACGGGAAACCGTGTAGTACAGTAAACCGATGCGCTGCCATCTCGTCGAGTTGTGTCACTTCCTGCGAGACGAGCGAAGCGCACATACCGATCGGGCGCCGATTATTATACAGTGGTGAAGACAACTAACACTGGTGTCCAAATGACAACTCTAGAATATTCTCTAAACACTTCGACCTATCAAGGCTTCTGATGGTCTTAAAAAAAAAAACGCAGCAAAGAACCAGGGACACTGCGCGCACTTACACACGAGGACTGCTGAAATCGGGGTCGCCGCCGCTCGCCACGGCCCGACTGGCAGACTGGCCGCCCCAGTAACACACACGCCTCCGCTCGTGGCGCTGAATGCAGCACTCTCGTGGCGCCGCCTGGCCATTGCCGGCTGGCTATAGGAAATTGGTGAGAGAATTGTTGTGTCTCGTGACTTCAATTTCCCGCTAAATTTAGCGGGGAAACTGATTGACGTGTGGGTCACGGGCTGTCGATTTCCGCAAGGTGTATAGGTCACGTTACGTCAGGTGGCGTAACGTGACGCGATTTTCCCCGCTAAGTTTAGCGGAAAACGCACGGACGGATAGACGGACGGACAAAATTTTGAGATTAGGGGTAGCCTCAAAAAGCATTTAGTGCTTTACAAACAATAGAAGGGAAAACGGTAAAATGACGGCAAGGAGGAGACTGAGATGTTTCCGATCCGAATTGGTAGACAATTCTTGAGTTGTATTTACATGGACGAAATTGTCGGACGGAGACATACAAAGAAACTGAGTGCGTTCTATTATGATCATAATTCTTGATTCGTGATGTTCGTGATTCTTTTTCGGCCTTCGACTCGTCTGCAATCGCATTGACCAAGGAGAGGTAATAAGATGCTTTTGCCACGCTCTTGGTTTTTTAACATATCATCGTCGTCATCATAACAATAATAATAATCATTATCATCATTTATTAAACCTTAAGAGTCTGTAGGGGCCGACAAGGCCCTATCCTCTGAGGCTTTTTCATACGCGATCTGTTCCACAGTAAAATCCGAACAAGAGCAAACGTTGAGAAGAGATCGCTTACCAAACTCATCGTTCATCTTGAATTTCCGTATCTGAGCTAATTACTTGTTCAAATGTGGCGTCGACGAGAAGGATGTGGTGGTAAGAACCACCACGTTTACGCTAATGCACGGGGCCTCAATAAAGAGGCTGACTTGGTCGTGACCAATCAAGGAAACAAACAGTAGAAGACGTCTAATTTCGTGGCCTTGCGCAAACATGTGTCTAACGCTGTCTCTGTGCTGGCGTTTCTCGTTGTATTTGCTCTTGAGATGAGGATAATATTGATGAGCTCTTCGCTTTCAGGGGCACGATTTATTCACCAAGGCGGATAACTATTGCGCAATCGATTGAATCACGACTCCTGTGTCGCGTAATTGGAGCCGACGTCTTGCACAATTCGAAACAACGCTTGATAGGAGTAAACTACATTGATGGCGGTTGAAACAGTCGTTATAATGGTTTATAATCCTGTCTCAAAAACTACATTAGGCTTATTTTCGCGGGCTAAGTCTGAGTTCTCGCTTGACTCAATTGGATATGACGATTTTTGGCGAGATCAACAGCGACTACTGACTGCTTGAGAAACGCTAAGAATCTTATGATCACTATTCTTGCGTCAGAATTAGTTTTATTTATCTATTTCTTTTTTTTTTATTAATGTGCAGGATATCGAGAACAAATATTGTGTCCCGAGCAGGAGTGTATGTAACCTTTATACGAAGCAAGATTATCAAAGATTATACAACACAACGCACCAGAAGGAGAAAGGAGCAGGCGAAAAAATGCTAAAGATATACGTAAAACACAAAAACAAAAAGTCTGACGAAGCATAATAAAGTGCCTGATATTATACGGTGCAATAGAGAGAAGGAATCGAGAGAGGGGGGGGGGGGGGGCAAGTGAAAAAATTATGTATGCATTTGGAGTTCTATTGCCGCAA